GATATTTAAAAAATACTTCCATGTATTCCCAGACTTTAGACTTTAGGTTTTCTGCCAAATTATTTTGTCATATTAATAAAGCTTTCCCACTGTCTCAGATCACATTTATGACTCTTATTCACTAAGAACTTCAGTGATTTGGGAGTAAGTAAAAGAACAGTGCATGTACTAGAAGGAAAGGCACTGAGATACAGAAGGGGAAGGCTGCCTGGAGGGTTGGTGAATTTACCATGATTAGTGTTTCTGATCCTTAGGATTGCAAATTTATTTATTTATTTTTAAGATTTTATTTATTTATTTGACAGAGAAAGAGAGCACAAGCAGGGGGAGCAGGAGGGAGAGGGAGAAGCAGGCACCCTGCTGAGCAGGAACCGGATGTGGGGATCCATCCCAGGACTCCAGGATCATGACCTGAGCTGAAGGCATATGCTTAACTGATTGAGGCACCTGGGTGCCCCAGGATTGCAAATTTATAAACAATTGAAAAAGATCAGTTTTTTAAGTCTTACTGTTTGATTCTCTATAGGCATGAGTAATGATCATGCTAGATTAAGAATTCTGGTTTTTGGTTTCTGTAAGAAACTGATTGTCGGTTACTGTCTTTCAAAAAAATGAAAGGATTTTTCCTTGAATCTTCACCTCCTATATCCCAAATACTTTCTCTTTAATGGCATATCTTAATTTGACTCATTTATCAGTGAAGTTCAGTAGCCACCAGACTTTTTCTACCCTCCTTTTTGGTATCTGATTCCATCTTTCCATTTATTTATTCACTTCACATAATTTTTACTTTATCCTATAGGAGTATCTTTAGGCTTTAAAAATTTTTTTTAAAAACTCCTTATTTTATATAGCATTTCTTTTAGAACATTCAGCCATTTATTTCTCTTTTTTTTATGTTATGTTAGTCATCATACATTACATCATTAGTTTTTGATGTAGTGTTCCATGATTCATTGTTTGCATATAACGCCCAGTGCTCCATGCGATATGTGCCCTCCTTAATACCCATCACCAGGCTAACCCATTCCCCCACCCCCCGCCCCACTAAAACCCTTAGTTTGATTCCTGGAGTCCATAGTTTTTCATGGTCCATCTCCCCCTCTGATTTCCGCCCCCCTTCATTTTTCCCTTCCTTCTCTCAAGTGTTCGTTGAGTGCTTTCTGTGTGCTAAACACAGTACTAGGCTGTGAGCCAAGATGATGAGTCAAGCGTAATCCTTGCTGTCTAAGAAGTCACAAATTGGGGAAATTTGGGATTGAAGAGGAGAGGAGTTAAGAAACCTTAGGGCACCTGGGTGGTCAGTCGATTAGGTGTCTAACTCTTGATTTCAGGTCATGTCATGATCCTCAGGGATCAAGCCCTATGTACAGCTCTGCACTCAGTGCAGAGTCTGCTTGACATTCTCTCTCTCCCTCTGCCCCTCCCCCTGCTCTCTAGCTCTTTCTAAAATAAATCTTAAAAAAAAAAAAAAAAAGGAGAGAAACCTATAAAGAGACACACAAGCAAATGACAATATGTTACTTCTTCAAAGCACAATTCATAAACCCTGTTCTGCCTACTTTACTAGTTACAGTTTAAGAACTCTTCTGTTCTTTAGTCTCTAGCTTTTGTAATCCTCTTCTGTACAGCTGTCACAGTTATTTTTCTTAAGATCTGATCCACTTATTCTCTGCATAGCATACCTGTGAAATAAGATCCAAATTTCTTACCATGGTATGGTAGATAGTCTCTGCTTCTCAAGATCCTGTCTTCCCCATACTGTGGGCCTCAGGAGGCTGACCTCTATGGACTGCATTAGCTGAATTCCCTTGCCTTTTCTAGTTGAGGTCAGGCAATGGGAAACATCACCCGGAGGTTGGAGACCAGGAGGAAAGAGTGGTCAGGTTATTTAGTCTCTTGGTTCTCTATTTCTGGGATCATTGCTTGATAGGGACTGCGTTCCTCCGAAACAGCTACAGTGTAGCCACTGGGTGCCAGTAACTGTTCCTCACCAGAGATAGATTAGCCATTAAGATAAATGAAATTTAAACTGCAGGGCTATATATTTTGGTAAAGTTTGCAGAAGATATTTTTGCATTCTTTTTCTTAAAAAGGACCACCAAAATTGTATAATTTTCAGGCCCCTATAAAACTGGATCCTCCTATGTCCTTATCCTTGGCCCTTCAAGCTTGGGTAAGTGCAAAGTTTATAAGGAATGAAAAACAGCTGAATAACCTACTTAGGGAGGTTATGATTGAATATTTAATGGGTGAAATAATATTTTGAGTTGGTTTTATGAGTATAAGTTCTCCAGGTAAAGAAGGATGGGAAGGCCATTGCAAATAGAGGAAATAGCCTATTTGAAAAGGATGAGCTATGTGGATATCTAGAAGAGGAGCATATTACCTAGAGACCAAAGGAAGCACAAAAGTCCTGAGGCAGGAACATGCCTGGCAGTTTTAAGAACAGCAAAGAGATGAATATGGCTATAGAGGATTTTTGCTTTTATTCTAAGTGAAATTAGGAACCATAGGAAAGTTTTGAGCTGATATGTGACATGATCTGACTTAAAAAAAGTAGTAGAGTGGATGCTCTGTTGAGAACAGATTATTGGGTCAAGGGCTAACACAGATCATTTAGAAGGCAGTTCTAGTAATTTACATAAGACGGTGATGGCTTGGACAAGGGAGCTAATGGCAGAGTTCATGAAAAGTGGAAAGTAGAGCTGTCAGAATTTGTTGATGGGCGAGATGTTGGGTATAAACAGAAAGGAGTCAGGGATAACTTTAGTATTTGGGGCTTAGATAATTGGAAAAGGGAAGTTGCTGTTTACTGAGATGGGAAAACTAGGAGAAGCAAACTTGAGGGATGGTTAGAGATCTGGAGTTTTTTTCATACATGTTAAGTTTGAGATGCTTATTTGACATCGAGATGAAGAAAGTGAATAGATAGTTGAATAAGTTTGGAATTCAAAGGACTGGTTTGGTTGGAAATATAAATTGAGAGTTGTAAGCGTATAGATTGTGTTTAAAGCCATTAGAGTTAATGAGTTACCAAGAAAGTGAACATAGAGTAAAAAGAGGGAGAAAAGTCTCGTGGTCTGAGTTTTGGGACCCGCCAATACATTGGAGGTGGAAGACCTAGCAAATAAGAAAAAGAAGGAGCAGCCAGAGAGAAGTAGCAGGAAAACCAGAAGTAGTCGGGATTCTGAGAGCCAAGTGAAATGTTTGAGTGAGACAAAAGTGATCAACAATTCTTGATAGATCAAATAAGACAAGGAGTAATAACTAATCATTGGATTTAGCAACGTGGAGGTCATTGGTGATCTTGATGAATACTTGGAAGAGTGAAATTAATCTTGTGGGCTCATGGGAAGAGAGGAATCGGAAGCAGTGAGAACAGACAACCCATTAAGGGTTTTGCTTAAAGGAGGACAGAAAATTGTTCGTTGGGAAAAGAGGAGTTGTTTGTTTGTTTTAAGATAGGAGAAATAATATCATATTTATATATTGATGAGAATGATCCAGCAAAGAAAGCAAACAGCTCAGAAATTCATTCTCATCTACTAATGGAGGGCTATGGTGAGCAACAAGGGCTGTGTTACAGTTTGCTGTCTCTTTTTAAGGATGAAGATTACAAAGCTGTCTCTTTGTGGTTTAATCTCAAATATCCCTTGGTATGAAAATGTTATTGTCTAAGTTGCAGAGCTTATGAGGAGAGACCAGTTCTGGCTTTACCTTAATTACTCAATATATCTCGTCCTCTTTTCCACTCTCCTTCCCTGCATTTAACAAACCATCATTAAACATTTACTCATTACCGAGCACTATACTAGGCACTGTCAATACAGAGAAGGATTGGACTTGGTCCCTACCCTTAAATTTGCAGTTTAGTGGGGAGATGAGTCTCCTTTTTAGGAACTTGGGGCATATTTCATTTTTAGGATAAAGCTATTCTTACTGTTCTTCAGCATCCTCCCAGCTATATCTTATAGGTAAAGAACTTACTCAAGGCATAAGAAACTTCTCTGGATCTTCTTTGAGCTTAAAACATTCTCCCTATTGTCTCTAGACCATCAGACATTCTTTTTCCTATTACTTTCTTTTTTTTTTATTTAAAATTTTTTTTTAAAAGATTTTATTTATTTATTTGAGACAGAGAGAATGAGAGACAGAGAGCATGAGAGGGAAGAGGGTCAGAGGGAGAAGCAGACTCCCTGCCGAGCAGGGAGCCCGATGCGGGACTCGATCCCGGGACTCCAGGATCATGAGCTGAGCCGAAGGCAGTTGCTTAACCAACTGAGCCACCCAGGCGCCCTTTCCTATTACTTTCAAAGTATTTTGGGCCTGGGTGCCTGGGTGGCTCAGTCGTTAAGCATCTGCCTTCGGCTCAGGTCATGATCCCGGGGTCCTGGGATCGAGCCCCGCATCGGGCTCCCTGCTCCGCGGGAAGCCTGCTTCTCCCTCTCCCACTCCCCCTGCTTGTGTTCCCTCTCTCGCTGTTTCTCTCTCTGTCAAATAAATAAATAAAATCTTTAAAAAAAAAAAAAAGTATTTTGGGGCTTATCAGATGAAAACTGATAATGCTTTCTTCCTTCTGATTCTATAGACCTGAATATTTTTTTAATTTTTATTTTTTAGTGGAGTATAGTTGACACACAATGTTACAGTAGTTTCGACACAGTGATTCAGCAGTTGGTACATTAGAACATTAGTTAGTACATTAGTACAACACAGTGATTCAGCAGTTACACTATGCGCACCACAAGTGTAGCTACCATCTGTCATGCAACACTATTCGAGTACCATTGACTGTATTCTCCATGATGTCCCTTTCACCCCTGTGGCTTGTTCCTTCCATAACTAGAAGCCTGTGCCTCCCACTCCCCTTCACTCATTTTGCCCATCCCTCCACCTCCTCCCCTTTAGCCGCAACCAGTTTGTTCTCTGTATGCCAAGCAAAGTAAGTCAGAGGAAGATGGCTTTGAGTTCACTAAAATGTTCTTTTATCTTCTTAGAGTGGAGCTGGTTTATCAAAATCTAAAGGAAGCCGAAATGGATTTGAAAGCACACAGTGGGTATGTATGATAAGCCTGAATGGAATTCCTCATTTACAGTGTTCATTGGTTCGTTCGTTTACGTACTCCGTAAGTATTTGTTGAATGATGATGATGATAATCGCTGTCTTGGTGGGCAGTGGGAGTAGGTGGTGGAGAGGGAGGGGTAGGCCCTGTGTCAAGTGTGTTACATGCAGCATCTCATTTAGTCCTTATGGAAACTTTATGAAGTCAGTACATACTGTTATCCTTAGTTCACTTAAAGGGTTTAAGGTTAGTTGGCTAATAAGTGGCTGAGTCCAGACTCCTACGTGTTTGCCTTCAAAATTCTCACTCACTGAACTATGGTGCATCCCCAAATGAAAAAATATGTGAATCAGAATTGAACTATGAATAAGGGAAAATAATGATTAGGAATAAAAATCTATTCAGCTGGTTTCCTTTTTAAGATAAGGAAAACTAGCAGTATGTACGATATAGCCCTGTTTTGATTTATAAATTTCAGAGCCTATACATTTATAAAAATGTTTTCCTACCTTTTTTCTAAGCAAATTTTGAATGAAAAACAATGCTAGGTTACTAGTTACTAATAAAAAATTACATTTATCCTATTTGTATGTATTTTGGATATGACTAGTTATTTCTTGTGGATGACCTCAGTCTTTGGCATCTCTTTAACCAGGACATGAAGCTTCTAAGATAGGAAGTGGGTTTTCAAAATCATGAAGCAGCAATGAAGTAGTAATAATTTTAGGTCCTTGCTGGCACCAGTTGGTTTTGAACTACTATTTAAAAAGTAAAGTCTGGGATATCCTATACCAGGCTCCTCAGTTATGAAGTATCAAGATGAACTTTTAATTTATTAAAAATAGCAGATGTTTGCTCTGTGGACTTAGGGAAGTCTGAGGGGAACAGGAAGCCCCATCTTTTTCATTCAGGGAAGGATCCTGAGGTGGGAGAAAATAACTCTTTTTTTTTAAAGGGTTTACTTCCAAGATAAATGAGCAAAAATTAAAGAACAGCTCACTACATTCAGTGAGTTCTCTTTGTTAATTACATTGCATGGTGCTAAGAATTAGTCTTTATAATTGCAGAATCATGTGGAAGGGGAGAAATACTAAAATACTTTGTAATAGTATTTTAAAAGGAAGGAAAAGTGAAATCTGATCAGTAAGTGTGATACTGAGCCCTGAAAAAAATTCTAGAATGAGTTATTAAACAATGACTTGAGAGCACTTAGGAAAGGGAATGATTATTAGGAGCTAGCCTTTCACTAAGAACAAGTCCCACCAAGCCCTTTTAGATGAATAGACTATTATAGTCTCAGTATACCCTGTTTTCAACAAGACATTTTTCTTTCTTGCAAACAAAATGAAGGTCAGATGATAATAGTCATGTTTATTTAGAATTAATTGGATTTAGAGTCAATTGGACATCTTTTTCCAAGGAGCATTGATGATTGCATTGATAACAACCTGGAAGGCATATTTAGAAGGTGAGTTAGAGAATCTCTCCTCTACCCTGCCCTAATCTATATTTATATCAATAATTGTAATAAAGCCATAAATGTGTTCATGTTTCTATTTAACACTAACCTGAAAGAGATTCACTCAACAAACATTTATTAAGCACCTTATATGCGCAGGTGTCTGTCACATCATCATCTTTCTTCCAAAATAATTTCTTTTATTCTCCTGGTGTAAAGCACAGAAAGCAACAACTATAAAAGAAAAAAAAATTGATAAATTAGAAGATCAAAATTTAAAACTTCTACTCCTTGAAAGACACCATTAAGAAGATGAAAAGAAATGCCACAGAAGAAGAAATATTTGCAAAACACGTATCTGACAAAAGACAGGGTATCAAGAATATATAAAGAACTCCCACAACTCAGAAACAGATTTTTTGTTCATACTCTTTATCAGCTTGAGAAAGTATCCTATTCCTGGTTTGCTGAGAGTTTTTAATCATGAATAGGTATTGAATTTTGTCAAATACTTTTTCTGTATTGAAATTATCATAGGATTTCCCCCCTTTATTCTTTTGATATGGTGAATTTCATTGATTGATTTTCAAATGCTAAACTAACCTTTCATTTCTGCCATAAACCCTACTTGGTCAGGATATTTACTTTTTTTTTTAAACTACTGGAATTTATTTTCTAGTATCTTTATAGTGGTTTATAATTTTCTGTTTTGTAATATTTTTGTTAGGTTTTGGTATTTGGATTATACTGGCCTCATACAATGAGTTAGGAAGGATTCCTCCCTGATCAGTTTTCTGATAAAGTTTTTGTAGAATTGGTATTATTCCTTAAATATTTGATAGATTTTACAGATTATTGTAGTCTTGGTATTTGCATACTCAGAACTAAAAACAAATGGTAAGAGACTTACTACTAGCTTTATCTCATTTTTCATTTAAATTCAATTTAGTTGGGGTGCCTGGGTGGCTCAGTCGTTGGGCGTCTGCCTTTGGCTCGGGTCATGGTCCCAGGGTCCTAGGATCAAGTCCTGCATCGGGCTCCCTGCTCCGTGGGAAGCCTACTTCTCCCTCTCCCACTCCCCCTGCTTGTGTTCCCTCTCTCACTATGTCTCTCTCTGTCAAGTAAATAAAATCTTTAAAAAAAAAAAAAAGAGAGAGAGTCTTTTATGGTCATTTTTTCTATCCTTAAAATTCTTAATATCCTATCTATTTATATCTTGTATATATTTTACGTATTTCTTCAGATTATGTGAATAAGAGTTTACCCTTAATTCTATGAGGCACCTTTTTGATGGCGTACATCCCTTTGAAATGATTATTACTTTCATTGAAGTATGTTTTTAAGCAGTGATATACACCAGTTATTCTATTTATCTTTGCTGCTCTTTGGTGTTACTTACTCTTGAGTGTGATTATTGTGTTTCTATTCTAATTTTGAAATTTACATTTTCAGTAGGGGACTCTACTTACTGCCCAAAAGAATTATATTTTAAAATATTACATTATTACTAGAAAATCAAACTATATATGGGAATAGTCAAGCAGGCAATATATTTTAGTTTGAATCTTTTGCTTAGAAAAATTATTAAGCAGTATTACAAATATGAAGAAAAGTGGCACATACAATTGATTTTTGATTTTGAAAAGGTTGACATGACCAGTTTTTAAAAACTGACATCTGGTATTTCCTCTCCCACTTTGGCTCAAAAAGATTTAGTTAATACCTAGGGAATAATTTGTAAGCCCAGAGTTTTCATTTCAGATACGACTTCCTCTGTGAAGATTTTGTTATTCTTTGGATGTACAGTTAATTAGTAGCTTACTATTCTCTATAGTGTGTTGCATATGTTTTTGCTATAGCATATTTTACCTTATATTATGAATCTACTGAGTGAAACATATATATTCTTATAGAATTAATGAATAAAAATTTAATAAGGTAGATTGTTGTATTGGTTTAGAAGAATTAAGGGGATTCTTTTCCTCTCAAACAGCGTGCAGTTAAAAAATTTATTATGCTAACATCCAGCCAAAATGTACCAGTGTTCCTTATTGATCCTTTGATTCTGGAATTGATTAATAAAGACTTTGAACAAGTCAAAAATACTTCTCATGGCTCCTCTTCAGAATGCAAGTTTTTCTGTGTTCCAAGAGACTTTACTGCGTTTGCACTGCGGTATCACCTGTGGAAGAATGAGGTAAGATGATTCACTTTCAGATAACAGAATGTGTCTTTTACAAAATAGTGTGGGGTTAAACCAGTTTGAAAAGTAAAACATTTCAAAAATCTTTAAAGCTTTTTATAAATTGTATTGGGAATATTTTCAGTAATAAGTAACAGAAGACACTTAATAGTGGCTTAAGCAAATAGGGGACTTATTTTTCTTGTGTAACAAGCGGTTGAGATTGGTGCCATTGGTATTAGTTCAGCTGCCCACTGATGTCAGGATGGCATCACTGAAGTTCTTTCTTCATTTTTCTCGTCATTACAAGGTAGCTGTCATAGTTCCCACGCATCACATCCATGTTTAAGGCAGGCATCATGAGAGGAAGGGATGGTGACGCTATTCATTCTTTGAAGCAAAAATTTTTCTCAAAAGCTCTGATAAACTGCCTGTACTCACTGTCCAGAATTAGACTCCTATGTCTTCTTGTTGTAAAGGGAGCTAAAAAGACAGGTATTTAGGATTTCCACCAGTGTAGGCAGGCAAGTAGGAAGGGATCTGGTAATGAATATTCAGTATCTGCCACGTAAGGTATGTGAGGGCAATATCACTAGTCTATAGCACTACTCTTTCCATTCTGTAAGGGTGCAGTACTTGTTTGGTACTCAAATGGAGGGCTGCTTAAGTGTATCCAAAAATTCAAACTTATATTTCCATCCTGTTTAATGGTTACAAGCAAAAGTCGACCAAACATGCCAAAAATTTGCTTGCTTCTTTTTTTGGAATACCTCTAACTACCCAGTTTCACTGTTTTTCATTCTGAGGAGTTATTCAAATAAGGGTGAGAAAATCAGCATTAGAGTAAATGAACTTAAGTAGTTTAGTCAGCCACCTGTGATAGATGTGCACCAGCTGTGCAGTGGGATCTGTTCTGGTTGTGCTGACCACTGGTAGGTAGGCTTGTGCTCCAGGGTGGCGATGGGAAGGCAGGATAAGCGACATGTTTCCTTGATTGCCCTGGGCTCTTAACACAGGGCGTCAAGAGACTGAGCTTTGACTTTTTTCTGGCCTACAGTTGGTTTTTCCAGGCAGTGATACAAGTGATGAGACAGACAAAGTGTACATATAAGTACATGATTTTTGTTGGCATATTTTTTTCTTTCTTCCCAATTTTATATTTTTAAAATATTTAAACTTGTGGAGAAGTTAGGATATGGTATTTTAAATTTAATTTTTATATTTTTAATTAAAATAATACTAGTCCTAAGTTTTAAAAGTCAGATAGTAATACAGAACTCATAAGGAAAAAGAGCAATATCTGCTCTTCTCTCCTCATCCCTTATTTCTACTCCTAGAGTCAACCACTCACAACTCTTTCTACCTTGTTTATTTTCTCATTTATAAATGAAATGTTTCCGCTTCTATTTTTAATATTTCATAAAATATTTCATGTTTTTAACATTTCATATTAAAAATTTTAAATTAAATTTTCATATTTTAATATTTCTAATTTAGTTTATAAATTATGAGAATTTAGCTCATATCTATTTTGTCTTCCTATATACACACACAGTCTCTTCTGCCATTATCATCCTAAAATGACTATATCACATTTTGTATTAAACCAGTAGTGTTGACCTTATGAGGTAGCACTTGGATGCTACCTCATTTAATCTCATTATATTCCTTTTCTCATGCAACTCTTTTTTTTTTTTTATTTTCCATTATGTTCAGTTTGCCAACATATAGTACATCGTAAGTTTCTGTTGTGTTCAACAATTCATTAGTTGCTCTTTTTTCCTCCTTTTCTGTTAACTAGTTTTCTATGTATCTATTAATAATCTGTGTATAAACTCTGTAACAGAAACATGACACTGCCAATAGGATCTAACATACTGGGTAATCTCTCAGTTCCACTTTTTTGCCCTTGGAGACATCCCTCCTAGAACTCTGGGTCTTTTTGCCTTAATACAGACTGATCTGCTGTGCAGATACTGTTCTGTAACTCCCCTTCACGACATTTTAGGAATTCCCTTCAGAGAAAGTGTGAATGGGAGGTTGAAACCTTGCATATCTGAAAATGTTTCTTTTTACCTGCGTATTTGGTTTCTAATCTGACTTATATAGCAGTTAGCTTCTACTGTGTAACAAATCACCCTAAAATGTAGTGGCTTAAATGACAACCATTTGTGTAGCTCATGATTCTGTGACAGTGATTTGGGTAGCATTTAGCTGGGCAGTTCTTCTAATCTCAGCTAAGCTCAGTTTCCAGTCAGCTAGGCAGCTCTACTTCTTCAGGATGGCTGGCTGTCAGATGGGCAGTGGAGGTGCCTGGGCCATGTGTCTTTCATTATCCAGGCTAGTCTGAGAAAGCAAAAACATGAGAGGTTTCTTGACATTGTTAAAATATTAAGATTTTTTAACCATGAACATAAATATACCTCCTTTCATTCAGGTGTCCTTTAATGAGCTTTAACAGAATATTGTAATTTTTCTAACAGATTTTGTACATTTTTTAAAAAGATTTAATTAATTAATTAATTAATTAATTAATTAATTTATTTATTTATTTATTGTGAGAGCACGCACAAGTGGAGGGAGGGGCAGAGGGAGAGGGAAAGAGAGCATCTCAAGGAGACTCCGCACTGAGTGTGGAGCCCAACATGGGCCTCAATCCCACAACCCTAAGATCGTAACCTGAGCCAAAACCAAGAGGCAGACACTTGACCAGCTGAGCCACTCAGGTGCTCTATATTTTACACATTTTTGATAAGATTTATTCCATGCTACCTTACAGTTTTGTGTGTATGTTTGTGTGTGAGGGGTGGGGGCAGTGGATAATGTGGATATTTTTCCTCTTCCTTCTCCAATTCATTGTTATAGGTAATGAGAATGCTGTTGATTTTTGTGTATTGATGCTATTTCCCAGCTACTGTTCTGAACTCTGCACTGTATAGATAAACTCCAAAGTTTCTTCCTCCCATTCTCCTTTCCTCATTCCCATTCCCCCTCTTTCTTTTTCTCTTTCTTTGAATGTAGATGGTTGTATTTTCTGCACAAAAAGACATTTTAGTCTCTTCCTTTCCAACCCTTAGACCTTATTTCTTTTTCTTGTGTTATTGATTTAAGTAGGACTCCCCTCCCCCCAAGATAGTATTAATTAAAAGTGATTTTTCTTTCTGAAAGAAAGACCATTTTATTACTGGGATGTTGGACTTCCAGAATTCTCTCATTTTCTTATCTTTGCTCAATGATTTTTCATCTCTTTTTTCTAATAACTGTTCTACTTTTAGGCAAAATCTTTAACAATGTCATTGATTTTCTTCATATTCTTGCCCAAAATTTTTATATTTTTCTAAAAATTTTGTGTACTCTTATAATAGGATTCTTGTTTCATGGGTGCAGTTTTGTCTTTTTCACTCTGTAGATTTTCATGTTTTTTGGTTTTTGTTTAGATGTTTGCTCCCTGCTACTTTTATTTTTCTAAATCCCTTCATTTTAGGTGTTTATTTTTTGTTATGGTTATTATTAGTATAGATACTAACCAGAGAACACTAACCTGAGCATTTTCTTTTCAAGGAAGAAATTGGTATTAATTTGCATAAAGAGAGTCTTTGAACATGTCCACCAAGCTACGTAGTTTCCCTTTTTGGTATTCTCCTTTTTTCTCCCACCACCACCTTCCCCCTTGCCACCCTTAGTTTGAAATCTTTGGGCAAAGAGCAGATTAGCAAAAATATGTATGGCTTAATTCAGTGTAAGAATCACTTTAGTTTTGCTACCAGTATTTGGTTTTACATATTTAAGCTTGATGTTTCTTTTGTTTTAGGAAGGCTGGTTCCGGATAGCTGAAAATATGGGATTTCAATGCCTAAAGATTGAGAGCAAAGATCCCCGGCTAGATGGGATAGACTCCCTTTCTGGAACTGAAATTCCCCTGCACTACGTCTGCAGATTGGCCAGTCATGCCATCCACTTGGTGGTCTTTCATGAGAGGAATGGCAACTACCTCTGGCATGGCCATTTACGACTCAAAGGACACATGGATAGGAAATTTGTTCCTTTTCGAAAGTTACAGTTTGGTCGTTATCCTGGAGCTTTTGACAGGTAAATTCAGGATCTAAAGACGAGTTCTGAAACCTCTATTGTCCAGTCATGAATTCTTACTCTTTGTTTACACTTAGTAATTAAATCTAATATGTAATTCACACAAATCAGTTTTGAAATGTAAATATTCAACAGGAAGAAGTCCAGGGAATGTGCATCAGGAAATATATATAAGAATGTTCATAACAACATTGTTTTCAATGCTGCCAAACATCGTATATTCATACAATGAAATATTGTAGAGCATGGAAGTGAATGAATTAGTGCTCTGTGTAACAATATAGATGAATCCTACAATGTTGAGTGACAGAAGCAAGACATAAAATAATACAGCTCTTGATTATATTTATAAAAAGTGCAAGCACAGGAGAAAGTATGTTGATGGATATATGCTTACATAGTAAACATGGTCAAAAGGTACAAACTTCCAGTTACAAATAAGTTCTGGGGATATAATGTACAGTGTGGTGACTATAGATAACAGTGCTGAATTGTATATTTGAAAGTTGCTGAGAGAGTAGATCTTAAAAAGTGATCTCAGAGGTAACTGAGGAAAATATACTTGATGTTTAGCTGTTTTACTTATGTTGTATATTTTGAAGAGGCTGCCAGTTTTCTGGGTTAAGTCCTTGTAATAAATCTTAACTTTTGTTTTCAGGCCAGAGTTGCAACAAATTACTGTTGATGGACTAGAAGTTTTCATCCCGAAAGATCCAGTGCACTTTCTAGAAGAAATACCACACTCTAGGTTTATTGAGTGTAGGTATAAAGAAGCTCGAGCATTCTTTCAGGTTAGAAATAATCAAGTGTTGTACTTTGTAAAAAGAGATGTGTTTATTTTTAATATTTCGGGGGAGGAAATGAAGGGACTTACGGAAAATCAGTAAGAAAACATCTTTTTCGATTCATCTGTTTTCTTCTAGATTGTTTTAATTTTTTAAAAGTAGATTAAAGATTTTTTATTTATTTTTGAGAGAGAGAGCGCGAGCACAAGCAGGGGAAGGGGGCAGAGGGAGAAGCAGACTCCCTCCTGAGCAGGGAGCCTGATGCGGGACTCAATCCCAGGACCCTGGGATCACGACCTGAGCTGAAGGCAGGCGCTTCACCGACTGAGCCATCCAGGGGCCCTAAAGTAGATTAAACATTAACCTTAAGAAACTATTTCTTCCCTAGTTAAATGGTGTGATGTTTATGGAGACATTGTTTTATTTGAATAGACTTTTGGTAGGGTTAGCACTGGCCTCTGCTTTCAGTTAGGATACACCATATGCTTTATCAAAGGTGGTGTGTTCCTGAAGCACCCCAGTTAGGATGAAGCCGCTGTAGGAGACAGACCATGTAGATTTGGAAAAGATTTCATGGAATGAAATGAATATGAATGTTTTGTGTTTATGAAGGTTTTTGAAGGTAAATGCTACACAGAGACCAGTGCTCTTTGAACTTTACTTTATTCTGCTGCTGTAGCTTTCAATTCAATAAACATTTATTGAAAGCCTGTTTCCCAGGAACTCTCCTGACCCTGGGGATGTAAAGATGATTTTGAGAGTCATCAAGGTTTAGCTCTAAGGTATGACTTGAAACAGAAATACAGTAAAAACAGATTTATGGTGGGGTTTTGGTACCCGAATCCTTCCACTTGCCCTTTATTTTCTGGGATTCCCTTCCAAGAAAACTGTAGACACATGGACAGGAATGGAATGAGGAAATGAAATACCAGCCGTATCATCACTGGCCCAGTGCCCCACACCCGCAAATGCAAGGTTTTTCCGGTAGGCTGTGTTATTCCCCTGGACCGAGGCCTGCCAGCCTCCCTGGTGGGTCTTCCCGGCCCAGTCCCCTTAAATCTGTGATTGTGGAGCTGTGAAACATACCCAGTCAGCCTCATGGATGAAAAGCTGGCAAACTGCATCTATGGATGGGCCTACTCTCACAGGCAAGCGCTGATCTTCATTTATCACGTGGTAATAACAAGACACAGAGACGATGCAGCCTGGTGCTTGGACTTGACCACTCACTCCTCTGGCCTTAAGGGAGTTTGTTCTGGTTGCTGCCTCTGTCAGAGCTCTTATCACAGTGAATTGTGAATGTAGGTCTTGTCCCCCTACTAGATGATGTGAACTTATTGATGGCAGGCATCTTACTTTACTCACCTCTGTAGCCCCAGTATCTAGAACAGCATCTGGCACAAAGAAAAGGTCCTAGAATTATGGAAAAATGTATGGAGAATAAGGTGCTCATCTGAATGAAATTATTTTTTTTAAGGATACTTATTAGGACTACTCCATTACCTAGCAAGCATTTCCCCAGACTCATTTTGTTGATCTTTGTGAGAAAGCAGTATAAAATATAAAATGTTTCAAAATATTGATACAGCATTAGGATAGTATCAAATTTTTTAATTCTGTATTTTTATTATTGCTTTTGAAATTTTCAGTCAAGCACTCGACCAGCATTTGAGTAAAGGATGCTAATGACAGATGCTCCGAGGGCTTATCATATATAGCCTTGTAGTTTTGGTGTTTAAAGTACCATCACACTGGAGACTGTAATCCTGTCTGGAGGTTTATATTTATAGTAGGATCATGTGTGTCCTTCACTTGAAGCAGGGTATACTTGTGATTTCTAATTTGCTTTTCTCTTTTGCTGTTGTATTAATATTACTGATGTAGGGTGCCTAATTAGGTTGATAACTCTTTTTTCTTATTCTCTTAAATGTTTCATTCTTCATCATTTAAAAGTACCAGGAGTTTCAGTTTTCAAATTGAAGTGAGCATACATCACTTTGAACACTTGATGGCGCCAAACAGTCTGAAATATAATGCCTGGTGTAAAACAAGCAATGAACTAATCTAATAGAGCTCATAAAACAAACTTCTAACTTTCTGTTTCTAATATTTTTTTGGAAACATTCTCAAACTATCAGGAAAGTTATAAATGAAATACAAGTAATTTTTTCCTAAACCATTTGGGAGTAAGTTGTTGACTGTGTATCCCACAACCTCAAATAATTTAGTATTTTCCCAAAACAAGGACATTGTCTACATTGTCTTAATAAAAAAATCAGAAAGTTAACACATAGAGTATCACTATTTAACCCCATTCAAGTTTTGCTAATTGTCTCAGTAATGGCCTTTATAATAAAAGGATCCAGTTCAGAGTAAAATATGATAAAAGGATTTAGAATCACATGTTGTATTTAATATTTCTTTTTCCCTCTATTTTTTTAAAGATTTTTTTTTATTTTAGGGAGAGAGAGAGAGAATGTGAGTGGGGGGAGGGGTAAAGAGAGAGGGAGAAAGAGAATCCCAAGCAGACACTGCACTGAGCGTGGAGCCCAACCCAGCACTTGATCTAACGACCCTGAGATCATGACCTGAGCCTAAATCAAGTCAGTCGCTTAACTGACTGAGCCACCCAGGCACTCCTGTATTTAATTTTTCTCTCTTTAGTTTCCTCCAGTCTGGAATGATTTCATAGTCTTTTTTTTAACTTTTATGACTTTGATGCTTTTGAAGATTACAGGCCAGATATTTTGTAAATTGTCCCTGTTTGAGGTTTGTCTGGTTTTTCCTCATGTTAGATTCAGGTAATACACCTGTAGTAGGAATAATACGGAAGTGATTCTATGTTTTTCTCATTACATCCTATCAGGTGCTGCATGGTTGTGATTTGTCCCATTACCGCTGATACTCACATTGATCACTTGATTAAAGTGGTATCCTAGCTTCACCCCTCTAAAGTTTCTGTTTTTTCCTTTGTAACTAATAGAAATTTGGTATGAATCTTTTTTTAAAGGTTTATTTACTTATTTATTTGAGAGAGCGTGCATGAGGTGTGGGGGAAGGGCAGAGGAAGAGAGAGAATCCCATGCAGACTCCCTGCTGAGTACAGAGCCCGTTGTGGGGCTTGATCTCATGAGCCATGAGGTAATGACCTGAGCCAAAATCAGTCAGAAGCTCAACTGACTGAGCCACCCAGGTGCCCCAAAGGTACCTTAACACCAGGTAGATATTGTCAATATCCTGAGGCTCCTGGGTAGCCTAGTTGGTGAAGAGTCAGACTCTTGATTTCAGCTCAGGTCATGATTTCAGGGTCATGAGATTGGGCCCCACATCAGGCTCTGCACTGGGCATGGAGCCTGCTTAAGATTTTCTCTCTCCCTCTACCCCTTCTCTGCCCCTCCACTACTTCTGCACTCTCTCTCTCTTAAAAAATAATTGTCAACATCCTTATCAATCTTTCAATTTATTTGTTTACATCAGTATGAACTCATGATTTCCTGTTTTATTCAATAAGTTATAGTCCATTATTTTCTTTTTTAAAAATTAATTCATATTTTTTTAGTAATCTCTACACCCAATGTGGGGCTTGAACTCATAACCCGGAGATCAAGAGTCGCATACCCTTCTGACTGAGCCAGCCAGGAGCCCCCTTTATTTTCATTATTTACTTTGATCCTCAAATTATTCTCTATTTGGCCAGTGGGAACCTCTTCATGATGGCTTACATGTCTTTTTGACATGTCTTCATCATTTTTTGAGTACTTTTTTGCTTTTTGGAACAAGGTGCTCTAGGTTCATCTTGTAATTTCCCTGAGACAACGCTGGAATCAGCCATTTCTCTAAGTCCTGGTTCCTTTTAGAAGCCAAGGTTTGGATGCCAGGTGTGCTCTTTGCTACTTGGGTTTTGTTGCACACAGGCCCTCTCAGTGACTGTGTGTGTGTGTTTATTTCTGTATCCGTCTATCTATCAAAATCCATGAATTTACATAGATATTGCCAGTCCAACTAATTTATGTTTCAGTTAAACAGCATAGGGTTTGTTTCCTTATTTGTGACTCCCTTCTCAAACAGTGAGAAACTTGACTCCTATTATTCTTAATACATTTGCTTATTTGTTCAATCTCCTGTCGTTGCTTCTGTCCCCTCTCCCACATGGTTGCTGTCCTCACCCTGCTTGAATGTTGCTAATCTCCCCCTGTGCTGCCCCCATCTATGGACACACTTCTCAAACTACTCGGGCTCTGACTCCCCACACTGGACATGGAGGGGCTGTCCCCTCCATGTGGATTCCCTCATCACTTCCTCAGGCTCTGATACCCATACCAGGCCACCCATGTGCCTTTTCTTGCTCTGCCTTACCTAATAGTTCTAGTATTGAATAGTTCAGGAAGGGAGGAGGAGGAGAAGAGGAAATGCTCTCTTGACTTACTTTATTTACTTTTATTTTCTCAATCTACCAAGAAGTTTAGAAGTAGGATAATATACATTTTCCTGAACTTGATTTTGTTTCAGCAGTAACCATCAAAAAATAATTAATGACTTTCAGTCCAGTCTGTTGAATTCCAGTGAAAAACCAGAGGGAAATATGGAACTATCTGGACACCTGGCCTAGGGATATCTACAAAGCTATATTATCCTCCTCCTTTTACTAATTTTTTTCTGAGACTTTGGACAAATTTCTAAGTCTTAATTTCCTCATCTATAAAATAAATGTCACGTTATTTTCCATCCGTATTTTGGGGGAAGCCTGGGGAAAGGTTACCTGAATAACAAAGATCAAATGGACATGATATTTAAATTAGGATTTTGTCTTTTTCTAGAGGCGTGATAAGCCCAAGATTGATATAAGACATCTTTAAGTAGAAAAAACATGCATACTATAATTTTAAAAATCCCTAACAGATGCAAAAGGTTTATAGGTGTATATACTTTAATACATATGGGGTCAATTCTAAGAAATGGAATTTCTGGGAGTGTCGTGCTAGGTAAGGTATGTCAGAGGTGAGAGTATGTCCATGCAGGCGCAGCCTCAGTAGGACATAACTATCAGAGTAATGTCTTTATCAAGCACAGAGTTTCATGTCTGTTACTTAATTTGACCCTTTCAGTCACTTTTTGAAATTAGGCAAGTATTTGCTTTTAACAAATAAAAAAATTGAGGTTTCAGTGTGCTACACAGTCATTATTGGCTGAGCATAGACTAAGTCTTGCGTCTCCAGTATTTTCCATCACACCAAGGATAAGAACATGTGCCTCCCATTCCAATCATGTGTTCTCAGAGAAGCTGTAGCTCTGAGAATGTTTTCATCTTGAAGGGATCCTGTATAATTTGTATGTGTAGAGAAGGCAACTTATCTTCTGGGATCCCACTTTCTTCCTAGGGATACTTTTTTCTTACGATCCTTAGAGTCCCTCCAGCAGCTATATTTTCTCCTGCTATATTGTAAAAGAATGACAGGATATTTTGGGTATTATAGGCAGGGCCTAGTACAGGAGGGGCTTGGTCATTTATTCATTTACCCATTCACCACTATATGTGATACTCACATATTATGTGTCAGGCACCATTCTAAATTGTTACATACAGTGATGCAGAGGTTTAGTACACGCCCTCAAGGAACTGTCTTTACAGCCTAGTGGAGGAAACCTAAGTAAAACCAATAATGTGAATTAAAAATGATAATAATTATGGTGAAAGTGTATACACATGGTAACTATTATAAACTCATTGGACAGATTCTTTCATTTGTCTTTGCCTATATCTAGGACAAATATTATTCTTTGCTCCCTAAATGTTGAACAAAAGGGTAGCACTGGGAGAATAAATACATCTTCCTAGAAAAATTAGGGAATGTTTTTCAAAAGGTAGAACTGAGACCTGAAAGATTTTGTTAGTCAGGAGCATTTCTGAGAAAGGAAACACGTATAAAGGCACAGAGGCTTGAAAAGTCATGGTGTATTTGGGGAGTTAGAGGTTATTGCTGTATTATGAAGTGTGAGGAGAGGGGCAGTGAGGCTGGACCAGTAGTCAGGGACCCCAACACAAATGTCCTTGTCTCCTATGCAAAGAAGTTTAGATTTTGACCCATAAGTAACGAAGCATCACTGAAGAATTTATAGTGTTTTCCTCAGTCTAGAACACCCTAAAAATGGAGAAAATTAGAAAAGCATGACTAGGTAAATGATAATGATAATATTTATCTAGAACTTCATATTTATGAAGCATTTTTCTGTAATCCATTGTGTCATTAAGTCTTCACAGCGGTCCTGCAAAGTGTAATTAGTATCCTTTAGTGCCTGATGAGGAAACCATATCTAAGAGAGCTTTGTTCTTTCACTCTCTCACTCATTCCGCAGATGTTCAGGTGCTGTGCTGGGCTCTAGAGATAAAGTGATAAAATGAAGTCACTTTCCTCATGGAGCTTGTGCTCTCCTGAGGTGATACGCCCAGCACCACAGCTAAGAAGAAGTGGGGCTGGACTTGAACACAGATAATCTGAACCAAAATCCCAGGCTCTTTTTATTATGCCCTGTAGTCTCTAAAGACCAACTGAATCAGTGAATCATGAAAATGTCACTAAGTGCTTTTGGCTCAGATATGCTTATAGCTCTCAGAATTAGTCTTCTTTTCTCCTAACTGCCCAATCTGCTCAATTGTGATGTGAAGGAGTTGATAAAAGTGGAAGTCTCATCCTTTGGGAATCCTGGTTATACTCCTTCCCCTTTAACTTGTCTTTTTCTAGAATCTGTTCCTGTAGTCTTATAAATGAGCAACTAACAAGGAACTCTGAAACTTGATTTTTTTATAATAGAAAAATGTATAATATGGGGTTAATTTTCAGATTTAATTTAGATGTCACAGAAATATTTCTAGCAATTTAGAAATGGCTGTAATAGCTGAGTATTTGTTGTATCTGTAGCAGTACCTTGATGATAACACTGTGGAAGCTATGGCCTTTCGGAAGAATGCAAAGGAATTATTGCAACTGGCAGCCAAAACATTAAAGAAATTGGGAGTACGGTTCTGGCTGAGCAGTGGAACTTGTCTAGGTAAAATTCTTATTGCTTTACATTTGTCTTTTTGTCATTTCATCCTCTTTGGCTTTAGGGATAACTACTTGAGATGACAAAACATCAGTGATATTTGAAGTGTCATATTTATAGACAGAATAAATGTAGTGCACAGAGCAGGAATTTCTTGATTTCTTTAAAGAAATTAATTTCAGAAACATACAAGAGAGTTAGGAAGGCCATGTTGTGTTTACCAAAAACTGTAAGTCATGTATAAAATTTATATCAGAACATGTAGACTATATTTGATCTTCAGGCAATCCTTGGATTAGCATTTTATTATTTCTGTCCCAAAGATTGTTCTGCCTTTAAAAAAAATAATAAAACCCAAAAAAACCTCTATTCTATTTCTTTACTTACTTACACATTTACTTACGCAAACGAGAAAAAGACTGAAGGGAGTTCCAGAAGGTCTTTCTACAAGTCTTTTCCAGGTCACTGATACTCTCACTGGTTACATCACTGCCTTACCACATTCCATTCATCCTGAGGTGGGGAAATGTACACTTTTCTAGAGTCCTTATGCGAGTTGTTATTAGCATCAGAGAAAGATTTTTGGATCTCCTTCCACTATACATTAGATCAAACTTCTTGGAATTTAGAATTATTAAGAATCTAAATTCTGTTGTTTTTATGCCCTCTTGTTAATAACTATAGTTGGTCATAACTGTATTCTTTCTTGATTATAACTTTATTTGTACAAAAATTAATTCTGCTTCTGTTTTTATAGTGTTACAATATAATTTGTTGTCCAATTCGAGAGACTTTTAAGAGTGAAAAGGAGTACCATTAGTAATTATATTGATATGACAGATGTAAACTGGGATATATGGTTATCCTATTTATTAGGCTTTGTGGAAATTCATGTGGTTCTTATTGTCACAGAGCTTTTAGGTAGAGTAAGCCAAGAAAAAAACACATCTCACACATGTATATGATATATGCTTTAAGGTTTAACTTTTTGAAGTAAGATTGTGTTATAAAACTATGTCATCAGAAATACTTCTTAATTACTTGTCGTGTTTTATTATGCATTTTTAGCCCCATGGTTTTCTTCATTTAAGAGCAAAATGAAGGAGTTGAATTAGATGTTATTTCAGGAGCCTTCCATTTTTTTTTTAAGTAGGCTCCATACCCAGCGTGGAGTCCAGTGCAGGGCTTGAACTCACAACCCTGAGATCAAGACTTAAGCTGATATCAAGAGTCAGATGCTTAACCAACTGAGCCACCCAGGTGCCCCAAGGAGCCTTCCATTTTTAATAGTTTATGATTCTCTGATAGATGTGGAGTGTGGAATTTTCTCAAGCTAGAGATGAGATGCCATCCTGGACTTCTAAACATCTCTGTTACAATGAAATTAAAGTTTAGAATGCCAGACAGTGTTGCCCAATAGCAATGCCTATAAAGACAATCATAGACATTTATATACTTTCTGAATAATTTGGATGAAAGAATTAGAAGGATACAGGGGAGACCCAAGAGCCCTTAGTAGTATTACGGTATAGATTTTGGTTTTTTAGAACAGTAGTAGAGCACCTAATTGAGAAGTAGGTACATAGTAAATATACCTAGAAATATCTTTTGATATTGACAATGTGCTGAAAATTGAGGATGATACTTCTCTTTTTTATATGACCCATCAGGGGCACCTTGTGGTGCAGTCGGTTAAGCGACCGACTCTTGGTTTCAGCTCACGTCGTGATCTCAGGATCCTGAGATCGAGCCTTTCGTTGGGCTCCATGCTCCATGGGGAGTCTGCTTGAGTTTCTCTCTCCCCCTCCCTTCTCCCCTCCTCCCCCCACACTTTCACGCTCTCTTTCTCTGAAATAAATAAATATATGAGCCATCAGACACGAGCTGTTCAATAAATTATTTCTCAGGAAGGGGATATTGGTTAAGCAAAAGAATTAAATTATATTTTTTAGCATACCTTAAAGGCAGCCTTCATCATTAGAGGTTTATGATCAAACATTCTCAAAAGTAACTTAATTTTTTTAAATGGATGGCCCAGTTAACATTATTTTTTTAAAGATTTTTATTTATTTATTTATTTATTTATTTATTTATTTATTTATTTATTTATTTATTTATTTGAGAGAGGAGAGAGAGAATGCAGGGGAGGAGCAGAGGGAGAGGAACAAGCAGACTCTGCATGGAGTGCGGAGCCTGATGCAGGGCTCAGTACCACAGCCCTGAGATCATATCCTGAGCTGAAATACCCAACCAACTGGGCCACCCTGGCGGCCTGGCCCAGTTAACATTATTAAAGCTAATAGCTTATTTAGAAATTAAAATACATCATGAAAGTTTTTGAGGATGCTGAGTGCTCAGAGCAGTAAAAATGAAGGAAAGAAAAAAAAGGAAAGAAAGGTTCTTCAACAGATGGCTTCTTATAACCACAGATTTTAGTTTGGGATTTAAATTTTTTTTTTTTTTAAAGATTTTATTTATCTATTTGACAGAGAGAGACACAGCGAGAGAGGGAATACAAGCAGGGGGAATGGGAGAGGGAGAGGCAGGCTTCCCGCGGAACAGGGAGCCCGATGCGGGGCTCGATCCCAGGACCCCGGGATCATGACCCGAGCCGAAGACAGACGCTTAACGACTGAGCCACCCAGGCGCCCCGGGATTTAATTTTTTAAAAATATTTTTGGTAAAGCGCTGTAAGTCTAATCTTAAGAAATAAAATCCACTCTTACAAAGATCATACAATAGTGACTAATTTTTTCCAAACTTAAGTTTTTAAAAAGTTTTCTTGTTTCTTTTTTATTTTTAGGGTGGTATCGGCAATGCAACATTATTCCTTATAGTAAAGATGTTGACCTAGGAATTTTTATACAAGATTATAAATCTGATATTATTTCAGCATTTCAGGATGTAGGACTTCCACTCAAACACAAATTTGGGAAGGTCAGTAGTAAAAATCTGCTTTACTTCATAAGTACCATGTCTCAAAAGTAAAGTTTATATTAACTCAGAGATGGTTAAGAATGTTACATGTGTATCACTCAGTACTGGCCAGGCTGAGCTTAGCAGAAGCTTGTTATGTGACTTTTTGTTTGTTTGTTTTTTGTTGTTTTTTGTTGTTTTTTGTTATGTGACTTTTGCACTATTTAAGGAAACTAGAAAATCTGTCTTTCTTTTGACAATGAGAAGGAGAAAAGGATCTTGAACTCTTGCAGGTGATTTGTTGCCATTATGTTAGATAACAATATAATGTAATTAGTATACCATGTAATGCAAAATTAATACAATTATTAAGAATCTCACCTACCCCACCTGAAATTATATTGTTTCTCATAAGTCATTTAATTTCTTATTCACTTAGGCATCCTGTCATTATCAACATGAAACGGTCCTTTGGTAGCTAAGGGTTAGAACTATAGAATCATTTCAAATAGTACTTGAATTTCTTATTTATTTCACATGTTCTGGGTCATAGCAATTTTCTGAGTTCAACTAGGAATAGGTCATCATGACTTAAATGAAATCTCCTTTTAGACAATTTGATTTCTATGCCCTAAGCCCATGATTCCTTGCAAACATCTTACTCTTTTTTTTTTTCCCCAAACAACATCTTACTCTTAATTTGATTGTTCCCAGTGAGGTGTTGTCCTGGAAAGTGAGTAGAAGTATGTTTAGTCACTGAAAAATTTATTTATCCTAATTATTCCAGTTTATAAAAAATATTTAATAAAATATTTTCCAGAGGTCAGAGTCAAAGCAGTAGAACTCTAGGCATGCAACAAATGTTTACTCTACACTCACTTTCTGCCTGGCACTGCACTCTGCACCTGGGACACAAACATGAATAAGTTACAGTACTTTTCTTTGAGGAGTTCACTGTCTAATTGGGAAAAAAAAAAAAAGCACATAGTAATTATGTGATTAGTGCTATATCAAGACAGAGGCACCAAGTCTAATGGGAACATAATTATTTGTAGGTTAAGTTTCTTTAGGGAAATGTTCTCAAAATTCTTTGTATCTTTAACTTTTGTTTTTTCTTTTTTCATATACATAATATAATTTATGCTACATAGATGGGTTTCTGTGATGCCACATTTATTTAAGTACTTATTATTGATTGAGATGAGAGACTTATTTCCTAATAGTTTTTCTTGATTATTAAAGGGAATCATTTTTCTTTGGTTCCTTTCCTTCTTTAGTCAGAAAGGGGCTCAGGAACAGAATGTTCTGCAGAGTGGTAATTGAGCTACTGTAAATCATTTACTCTGAGTTTTCATTAATTATCAGAAGCAACATTATTTTATATGCATTTAAAAAAGAAATCAAATCTTGGCACGCTATTGATAAATCCCAATTTAAGAGATGTTCCAGTTTGAAAAAATATATTATCTTAGAATCAGTATTCTTTCTCTATAAAACAAAATCTTTTTTTTTTTTTTTAAGAAAATATATTTCCTTCGTTTCAGTCTGTGATGGTTTTTGTCTTCCTCCTAGGTAGAGGACAGCTTGGAACTATCTTTCCAAGGAAAAGATGATGTAAAACTCGACATTTTTTTCTTCTATGAAGAGACTGACCATATGTGGAATGGAGGCACTCAGGCCAAAACGGGAAAAAAATTTAAGTATGAATCAGATAAGTACTTATAAAAGGGGCTAGAGAAATAATTTCAGAAGGTAGAAATAGTAAGTAACTGAAAATGAAAAACAAACGAAAGACTGTCACAGCTTCACTCTTAGCTAACTTCCTCAGTTTACCCATAAAGCCCAATTGTGTTTGGAAAGTATGGACTACTTATAAGGACAGTGTAAGAGGAGGAAGTGCCCCTGGGACTTCAGTCCAAAGAGTCATTATGATTAGAAGCCCTTGAGTCATCAGAAAGGGAAAACCAAAACAAGGAACACAAAAACCAAGCCCAGAGCCTTAGCCAAAATACTGATTGGCTGTTAGAGTTACAGGAGCTTGTTAATTTGATGGAAATGGATAAGGGTCAGTAAGAAGGAGATAGGGTGAAGTGAAGATTAAGTGAGGACACTGGAACTGAACTGGTCTGAGGCCACAAATGCTCGGCAAGCTCAGGAATGAGCCTTCAACAATGACTGAGGGCTGATCCTTAAAGCATACTCATTGAGCTTAACAGCTACCATATTTTGTCAAATATAAGATAGTATGGATTGTAAGATGCACCATTATTTTATGTGCTACTCAGAAAGGAAAAATACTGTCAATTATAATTCTGAGACACATGATTCACAGATGGAAAAATTTGGGTGGGGGGAAATGTCTCGGAATTGATGGAGTGCAGTATGTTAGATTGACATTTTTAACATTTTTTTTAATGCTGCTACAGTAAAACTCTCTGATGAGAAAAGACAAAAATGACATTAGAGTAACAATGCTCTCCTTTATGAAGCAGTTGACCTATTCTCAATTCTGAGAGAGAAAGAGAAGGAGAGGCAAAGGAATGGGAATGAGAACCCAAAGAGCATGGGCTTAGGAGTCAAGGCAGACCTGGGGGACCTTGGCTGCACCCTAACCTATTTGTGGCCTTTAGCTTTTCTCTGAACATTAATCTCCTAGTCTATTAAGTTTGGGTAGCACTACTATGCGTTTGACTGTTATGAACATTTTGCATGTGTTAACACATCTAATCGTCAAAACAATCTTAGGAGACAGGTATTCTGTGAGGTGCTGAGAATGTAAGTAGTTTGTTCAAGACCACACAGCAAGTAATGAAAGGACTCAGCAGCCTGTCCCTTAACCACTACTCCCCACTGTCTCCCTGATACACCTGATGATATGAGGCACCTGACATAATGCTTAGCATTCATTATCAGTAAATGATGGTTATCATTGTTGTTATTATGATTACTAAAGTGATTATTATTATTACTGTCATTATTATGGTAGTTATGTGCCCAGAAGCTTAAATTTGATTCACTAACTAGCTGAGATTGGAGCTTCTATCATAAATTTGGGCCATTGGGCAGAGTGGGGAGAATTCTGTGACACAGAAGAGAAATGCCATATTCAGACTGGTTTCTCCTGGGTACATTGACACACCCTCTTGGTATTGCTGAATCTTTATTTGAAGGCAAGGAGTCTTCATGTAAGGTAAATTCTGGAGGTTTGAGAGTAATCCAAACCTTTTTCTAGTTATAAAGTATCCCCAAACTGACATTGACCCCAGAGGATATTCTTGAAACTTTTATTTAATATAAAAATTATTTTGCTTTATGACAACAACACATTCATGCTGGGTAAGCTCTGAATATAAGACAGAAATTAAGTTAATGAATATATAATTGACATTCTCCCTATGACCAGGTGAATGGGGATAAGTGTTTATGACATTCAGCTATAATTTGTTTATTCAGATATAATAAAGAAACTGAATTTGGTGGTGCCTGGGTGGCTCAGATGGTTGAGTATCCAACTCTTGGTTTCAGCTCAGGTCATGAGATAGAGTCCTGTGTCAGGCTCCGTACTTGGCATGGAGTCTGCTTGGGATTCTCTGTCCCACTCCCTCTTTCCCTTCCTCTTGTGCTCGCTCTCTCTCTAAATTAAATAAATAAACCTTTAAAAAAAACCCACAAAAAAAGCTGAATTTAATGTATAATTTAGAGGCTTCTTTAAAAACTGTAAGATAGTGTAGCACAGAAATTAAAGGGATGGAGCCAGTCAACTTGCTTTTGAACCCCAGCTATTTTACCTTGGGCAAGTTATTTAACCTCTCCGCCTAAGTCTCCTCAAGTGTAAAATGGGAATAATAATAGAAATTGCTACATAGAATGGCTTTTTAAGGATTAAGTGAGTTAATACAAAAAAGGGTTTTGAAGAGAATTAAAGATGTCCTGAGTGCCAAGAATTATTAGCTGCTATTACTATTACTATACTAGTAGGACAAGGGTAAAGAAAACGATCTCTCTTCATAGTCTTATGAGAAAATTACAGATTAGATACATATATAATTAACTCAATATTAAACTGCCAAATCTATTCTTAGAGAAGTCATATGAGGATGTCACCTTTTTTCTAAGAAAGATACTTTCTAGAGCCAGTATTATAATTCTTTTATTCTTAAATTTCCTTCTAAGACTTGAATTTCTTTCTTCTCACTGACATGATCTGAAACCCACAAACTTCAAAAGAATGGTTCATTTCTAACCACTACATTTCTGCATAGAAAGAGCTTCTATCATTCTGCTTTAACTGCTCTTTATTGTAGCAGTGTTTGGGAAGTGTGAAGTGTTCTAATTATTTAACAAGAGAAATGAGCAGTGATGGAACTGTCTGGACAGATGGTGTGAGTCCCAGATTTTCTATCCTGTTACTGTGACCTTAAAAGGCAGAGAAAAGAACGGGGGATGGCTGTGTAGAGTAGTTTCTTTGGAAGATTCCCCCAGCCATATGCCATTTTTATTCTTTTCAGCACTATTTACTTGAAGGAAATACAGTATTTTCACCACTAGTGTTCCTAGAGTGGGGAAAAGAAACCTTTTAAAGCTACTCTAAAGGTCTTTTTATCTGTATAATATTTTACTTTGTATTCATGTATAGTTTATTCTGAGAAGAGCTTAATAATATAGATGCTTACCATTTGGGGAAAGAAAAAGGCTAAGAGGAACTCAGGAAGGAAGAAAAAAGTTCCCCCTTTTGAAACTTTACTCTGCATGCCTGCAGAATGATGTTTTTGGTCCTCAGATGTAATAATAATATTAGCGGCAATAATAAAGACACAGCTACGAGGGTATCAGCTGGTTATCTGGCACATGATAGGTACTTTACGTTTGTTATCTCAGACAGTCCTCACATTATGCCTGTGGGTTAGGTGTGCTCACTCCCAGTTAGGAGAAAACTAATGCTCAGAGAAGTGAGGTAACTTGCTCATTACTGGCAGGACCACGATTTAACTCCAGAGCTGTTGGACTCGTCAGCCTAAGTGCTTATTTCTAAGACTTAATACGTTGAACGAGTTAATACATGAAATGCATTTAAAACAGTAGCTGGCACATAGGAAGTGCTCTGTGAACGTTAACTACTGCTGCTACTATCATTACAGTATTATTACTACTATTACTGCTACTGTGTTACTCTGACACAAAGCATGGTACCTTCAACACAGTGGTAACTTGGATTAGTTACTCCAGTGGGCTCTGAATTTTTTATACTTATTTTTCTTCTCCAGAGTCCAGTCACTAGCAATAAAAAGTGAACTGTGCCACCAGGATGTGATGTTTTATTCCATCATGTCACAGTTCCTACAGATGCTGCCCAGGTTTCTTGGGATTCTTTCTTTCCTTGCCATCTGAATCAGCTGAATTAAGTAGAGGCCAGAAGTTTGAGAGGCAATAATAAAAATTAACTTTGAATATTTGCTATGTGCCAGGCACTATGCCAAGCTTTTGTATGCATCATCTCATTTAATCTTCACAAGCTTATGAGAGAGATCTTAATTTTGTCACCTTCATTCTGTAGATGTGGAAATTAAGGCAGAGCTAAAATTCAGACGGGGGGCTATATCACTTTAGAGCCTGGATTCTTAGATAAAACACAATGTTAGTGTCACCATGATCTATCATATTGTTAATATTCCTTCTATGAAAATAGCCCTTCTACTCAGTGATATTATCAGGGTAATACAGCTACCTCTCTAACCTCTAATAAGAAATATGCTACCCTCTGGGCTACTAGTGGTTCCTTATATCTTCTGATATTTGTAGTTTCTGCTTATTGTACAGATCTTCAGAAAATTTGGATTTGTTCTCTGTGGGACTCCTGTCCAGGTGTGCCTCCTATATAATGTAACGTTTCATTTCTGCAGAGCCTATTTACTAACCCTGTGTGCTAAGGATTCTCACGTGAACATACTTAGGTTCTGCTCTCAAAGTTCTCATAATGAGGACCATGAAACAAATTATTGAAGTACTTTATCAGTAGTATAGTAATTGAAGTATGTGTTATATATAATTGAGCTACCAAATCAAAGTCTGTCTAGAAGCAACAGCAAGGAAGTGTGGCTTAAAAATAGAGAAGTTTGTTAGGTAGACTTGGTAGGAATATGGAGAAAGGCCTGATAATAGTTTTGCTTAACTATTTTTCTCTTTAGACTGTTCTGATTTTTTTCTTATTAAAAATTCTATGAATGTCTTTTTTACATAAAGTGAAAGCCTTATTAAGGAGTTTCCTTGACTAGATTCCCAGAAATGGAATTATTATTGTTTGTGCTGTTTAAGAAGTAGAAAGGGTAAGTGGGCAATGTTCCTAATACCAGTAAAGTTCAAGATTTTATTCCTCCGTCTCTACTTTTTCCTTTGACTCCTTAGGACTCTTTAAAGTTACATGGGCTTCCTCAATTCTTTTTTCTGTTTTAGGGTCTAACCCAAGATACCACATTGCATTTAGATACCCAGTTTTTTGCAACTTCATTTGAGACCAAGATTTTAATCACTAAGTAGTACCAAGTTATACATCATCACATGTCCCAGTTCTGCCCATTCAAGGGCATTGAGTTGTCTTTTTTTGATGTTGCTCCTCAGTACCTCTAACTGGAAATAATCTCCCCTTCTTCTGAATTTCCATAGGTTTTTTTCTCATGCCTTATTTGTGGACTTCTGCTGATTT